AGGAACTAAGTGATTTTGAAGTAACAAAGTCGCCTCTCAAAAGTCAGCCCTATGCCGGGCTTGGACATTAGTCAGGCACCCAAGGACCCTCGAATGTGACCCCGAGAAGAGTTGTTTCAGTAATTGTAGAACCATCAGCAGTAGGAACTAAGTGATTTTGAAGTAACAAAGTCGCCTCTCAAAAGTCAGCCCTATGCCGGGCTTGGACCCCAATCAAATTGGAAATGAGAAAGTAGTTCACCACTTTCCTCCATCTGGCTTAAGAGTTAACTGCTAGAAGATTTTTTTTAGTTGACTCAAACATTATCCTCCCATTTATGTTCATTTGCCTTCAAGAACATACAAGACAAAACGATTGACCACTTCTATTCAGGACAACGGAGTTCCGCATACAGATTTCAGTATTTTGTGACAAATGTACGCGACCATGCTTTTGCAACCTCCTTTTATATGCAATCACCAATGCTCCACATGCAGGGAAATCAAAGGAACCAATCTTTCAGGACAACTCCCTCCAACTCTGGGCAAACTCTCCTAACTTGGTGAGTTGTAAGATTGTGTGTTTTTTTTTTTCAATATCTATGATTTAGAATAATAAATTGCTCTGTTCTTGTTTGCCTAAAGTGCTGCACGCAAAGCATACAGAGCCCATCTTCTTGATCTTCTATGGAGCACCCATGTGCATGGAACTTTGCTGGTGTTTGTGTCAAATACCCAGCAAACACCAGCCTTTTCGCCAGCACCTTAATTTTCTCTGCTTTTGTTACTCTATTTCATCCTTCTGCCCGTCCAGGAATCTGTCTTTAACTGGAATCACGTGCCCGCCTAACAAGAGTCCGTCTGTGGTTCAGCAATTCTCTCAAAGCGCCTTATGCAGCAACTGCGCCTCCTTCTGCTCCACGTGCAACAAGACAGCACAACGTGAGCCATAAAAAATCAATGGAGAGTACAAGGGGAGAAGAGATCGATTGTCCTCTCCTCTCTCTCGATTCCATCCATCCCAATATTTTGCTATTTGTCACACTTTCATTTCAAACCCATCCTGTCTCTATCTCTTCATCCGCGTCCGTCTCATCCCCATCCATCCCTCACACACTGCAGGCCCACCCTCTCCCTCTCGAGCCGCCCCCTCCTTGACTCCATCTCCTCCCACACCAACCCTTCCCTCCTCTTCAAGTCCCCCCATCTCGCCCGAAGCGCCTCCCTCCCAGTCGGGAGGCGGTCTCTCTGTGGGAGCCATTGCCGGCATTGCTGTGGCTGCTGCGATGCTGCTGGTGATTGGGATAGGCATGCTGCTGTGGCGGCGGAGAGGTCACAATAGACAGGCAGCACGTGCAGCAAGTATGGTGACCTGTCGATTCGTAATCCCTCTAAACCCTAAACATCTTGACTTCTATTCAGTAGGAGAACCCAAAAGTCTAGAAAAATCGTTCCTTCTTGAGACACCTCAAATGTGTCCCCTCCTCCTGCCCCTTGGCCTTTGAGACGTCTGAGAACTTCATCCTCCATCCATTGTTCCTCGTCCTCCTTGTGACCTTTCCTCTCTTGAGCATTTGTGAGGCAAACGAGGCGGAAAATACGGACACACGCATATCTCTCCTTCCTTCTACCCTTCCCTCGGAAACTAGAGTTTTTGCAACGATATGGCACCCTGGAAACGTTGGCATGGTCATATGTACACCTGGCCTCTGCTTCTTCATCTCACCCCACACTATCACGGCATCACCCGTCACACTCCCTACTTTTACCCCGTAGTATCACCCTTCTCATTCTTTTATATCTGAATGATCACACTCACCCTTTTCGCCCCACACTTCCACCCCTCGCACTCACCCCTTGCACCCCAAGCTTCCACCCCTCATCCCTTCCATTCTGTACAGGTCGCTCTAGCAGCATGCCAGGCGCTAACTGCACTGAGTACTCTCTGGAGGAGGTGCTCATAGCCACCAACAACTGGTCCTCGGACAATCAGCTGGGCTCAGGTGCCTTTGGTGACGTGTACAAGGGCGTGTGTCCAGATGATGGCACCACCCTGTGGGCTGTCAAGCGAGCCAAACTGATTGATATGGAATTTTACAAAGAGGTGGGATCGATCAACTCATCTCTAGTCAGGACCCTTCAGGTACAATTTTCCAGAATCCCGACCCGAACTGGCTTGTAGAGGCGGGTCGGATAGGAACTGAGCCCGGGTCGGGTTGACCTCGAGGCACTTCGGGTATCTGTACCTACCTTCGCACGCCAATTTGCGTAGATCGTCCATTTCAGCACTGATCGCACAAAGCCAGGGACTCCCACCTCCCCAACAAAATTGTTGAAATGAAAATTCCCATTTAACTCGCCGCCGCTTACCACCCATCAACCACACTGAATCTACCAAACCCAGCCCCCGTACATCCTTTTACGGATCTCAACATTGAGCACAGCCCAGCCCTACCGCTATCCTTTAGCCCATAGATCATACCCCAAACCCAAATCTCGAATTTGATGCGCGATTTGCTGATTTAGTTCCTAAACGACCCAATTTCTTCATTGTCGAGTTTATTTTGGGTCGACCCGGGTAGCTAGGTCAGCCTGAGTCGGCATAAAATGGTAAAATAGGGTTGTGGGTCAACCTGCTGACCCGAGTCGTGTATATCTAGCGTGACACGGCTGGGTTTGCGTTTGGGAAAGGTCGGCCCGACCGGGGCCGGTTCAACCCAATTCGGCCGAGCCAAGCACTTTGCTTATCCCTACTGCTAATTGTCGAGAAACTGTTACACGTTGGCTCTCAATGCGCTTCGCCATGGCATTCCTTTTGTATACTGCGCTCTGCGAAAATGTTCTATTGACACTTGTCCCTCATGTCATGTATCCCAGCATTGATGTGTTTCTGCCATTTCCCGCAAATTTCCTCGCAGGTGCAACAAATGGCCGACAAGAACCATCCCAACATCGTGCGGCTGCTTGGGTTTGCTGTTGGAGGGGACATGAGGACACGGCCAGAGCAAATCCTGATCTACGAGTTTATTTCCAACGGTGACCTTGACCAGTTTGTTTAAAAGTGTACGTAGAACACATATATATGGAACCTCTTTCTTTCTTTCTTTCTTTTGAAGGGTCCATTGTATTAGTAACACCAAGGAACACACAAGGTAAGGCAACACCTACACATGGCAGAGCTACAGCAGCATACTACAAGCCTAGCACAACTACTGCCGCCGCTTCCCCTTCCGACCCTAATGGCCGGAGGGGTCTTCTAAGAGCTGGTATAACTGCCCCTCGCTCAGGGGGGTAAACGGGCCTTGCAGGCCCAGCACGTCCGCGGTTAGAGCGTCATGAGTTTTATCCCTGAGGGTGTTGGCTTGAGCTCTCTGCAGGGTCACGCTCCATCGCTGCCGATACTCCGTGAGCAGCTTCGCGGCCTCCCTTGATTTGGGGGCAGCGTTAAACCGCCTCTTGGCTGCTAGCTCTGCGCAACTGCGGAGGAGTTCGTGGACTTCGGGAGAGGGATAGCCATACGTCTCCACTGCCATGGCATGAAAGCCCACCCATGCGCTCCGGCCGGCGTACTTGCTCTCTTTCTTGTCCACCTGCATCCTTGCTGCCTATCCGGGTGCTTTACGAGCGTGCTCATAGTGATGGGAGACGCGATCTGTGACGGTGATGTCACAAATCCAAACCTCACCTGTGTCGGGATGGCGGATAGAGATCCGCTTTGAGGTTTTCGACCGGTGAGTAAGCCGTTGTCTCTTTGTGCACAGTGAAGCCCGCTTCAGCTGCTATCTTCGTCACGGGGTTACCGGCTGCTATCTTCAGCTGCTATCTTTGTCACGGGGTTACTAGCTGGAGCAAATGGGAACGACGCGATCTTGGTCATCGTCGATCGATGGACGAAGATGGTGCATTTCGCAGCGTGCAGGAAATCCATCTCAGCCGAAGAAACAGCTCGGCTCTTCATCGCCACCATCGTTCGGCTACACGAGATACCAGCAGCAATCATTAGCGACAGAGACACGAAATTTACCAGCGGAACCTTTGGCACCAGTTTGACACGCGACTACAGTTCAGTTCTTCGTACCACCCCGAAACCGACGAACAGATAGAGCGAACAAATCGGACCATGGAACAGCTCATTCGAGCCACGTGTGACGACCCAACCATGTGGGAACAACAACTGCCACTCATCAAATTCGCGTACAACAATTCGCCATCCGCCACGACCCAACCGTCTTCGTTTTACGTGAACTACGAACAAGACCCCACTGTACCCATGACGCCGAACCCCGACAACCCAGTACCACGTGCACAGAAGTTCGCCGAGATTTTACAAGCAGCACGGACCCGGGCAGCAGATGCAATTAAAAATCAAACGTTATCGCTAAGCGCAACGTTGACCGCCACCGCCGTCCCGTTACTTTCCAGCCCGACGACCTAGTGCTGCTCGACACCCAAAAACTCCGCCTGCCCATTACCCTAAAACTCCGCCCTCGATATTGCTGGCCATTCCGCATCAACCACATGATCACTCATTCCTTCACTCATTGTACTGTTTGCTTCGATAGTGCTAGTGCAATTCTCCCTCGCTCGCTCAATTGCACTTGTCACACAGTGTCACATTTGAGCACCATTTCAAGCTAGTTTCATTTTTTATCATATGCACCGTTACTGAAATTTCTAAAAGATTGGTGTTCGTTATGAATCCGCCTACGTTACAAATCTATCTTCGTTGTTGGCGCTTCTTTTGAAAATGCGGAAGGAACACCTCATCTCTTCTCACTTACATAGCGGAGTATTTTCTCGAATAGATAACCCATTCCTAGTACAGCGCGAGTCAAAGCCAGCTGATAGTACAATAGGGGAAAGCGGCTTGCCGCGACCTTCGCGGCGTGATGAAGCCCGCAGCAGCCCTTCTGCTCGGCGCGCTGGTGCTAACGCACGCAGTCTCACGCGTCGAGTGTGTGCCTCTCGCCAAGTCACAGGGTGCGTGGCGATCCGCAATGATTCAGTCTGACGCTGATTATTCAACGTACTGCGACGCGTGCTGCAAGTAGAACCTGCTTCCCCCGCAGGTTCCGCAGTAGAACACGCGGCACGACGAATGCGCCCTTGTTCATCTGCCTACTCCCACCAGCCGCGGTGCCGCCAGTCACTGCGCTGGCGGGCGTACCCTCGGGTGTCTGTACAATCGTGGGCCACGTGGCGGCATGCTCCCAAGGCCACGCTGTGGGGTCGGGGACATCCGGACCCCATCCCCCATCGAGAAACGTCAGATTCTCTGGCTTGTTTGGATCCTTGAAACAAGCAATCTTCGTGCTCGTGCTTGTTTGGATTCTCTTCCCCGCGCTCGTGCTACTCCTTTTCCAGCTAATCTTCGTCCGGCAAATCTTGCAAGCCCTAGCATCGTTCACCTTCTCACCGAACATGCCACGAACAAGCCCGGCCTCTGCATTACTAAATACCTCCTCAGTCCATGGGTCCAGCTCCGCATCGTCAGGGGTCCTGCCCGCCCTGTCGGAGCTCTGGCTTGCAATCACAACAGCAGATCCAGCCCCCGCAGACCCACCCACAGGTGCACCACCAGCTGCAGCGGCGGAGGTACCTGCCCCTGCTGCGCCTGACCCATCAGCACCACCCGCGGCTGCCCCCTGCGGCTGTGCATTCGACGCTGGCCCGACCCCACAGGCCCACTCGCACGTGGCCTCTTTGCTGCTGCACCGCTGCCGCGTGCGCCATTGCCACCAGCCTGGCCCCCTCCTCTCCCTCCCCAACCCTCATCACCCGATCCTCCACTCGCGCCGTCCGCCTCTCCCGGCGCAGGCCTGTAATCCGGGTCCTTCTCCTTTCCCCGTGTTCCTTGCTCCTCCGTCACTGGTGCAGGTCCTTGAGACTCCCATTCCCGCAACTCTTCACGCCTCCTCGCCGCGGTAGCATCGTCCCACCCAATCTCCTGCCCATTGAAGACGCTCCCCAAGCGAAAAGTGGCCTTAGAGGCCGGTGTCGGGAGGCCTCCAAGCGAAGCCCCAGGAATAGCGTATGAACTGTCTTCCTCCCCCTCCATTCGCGTGCAAGCGGGGTCGCGTACGTTTGCTTAAAGTGGAGTCGCGACGTTATTGTAATTGGCGCGGCCCTATACTATGGGGGGTCGCATCCCTATCGATGCGGGCCTGGTAGGCCCGCAGGGGGCGATTAGAACGCGGGGCCAGAGTTTAGTCGCTTGTGAGAGCTAAGAATAACTATTTCTATAAAATTGAACATCTCTGCCTGGTCGCGATAGGTTAAAAAGACCCTTCCGCCAACATCGAAACACTTGTAATAGTGTTCCTTAACATGGGCGCAGGTTTAGAGAGTAGTAGAGCTTGAGAACGATTGCTTACTAGCTGCCTAGGTATTGCAGATTGAAGTCAATGTCGAGGGAACAAACAAACCCTAGACATTGACTTCGCGATCTGCTTTAGTTCAAACTGTCGAGAGAGGAAAAGTCGGGTCGGGCCAAATACTCGACCCGACTTAGGGCGCGGTACCCGAAACCGAGTCGGGTATGACGTCGGGTCTAAATCTGACCCGACCCGACCCGACCCGGTTTCGGGTCTCGGGTCGACCCGACCCGGCCGGGTAAACCCGACCCGACCCGGCCGGGTCAGCGCTTCAAAATGCCTGACCCGACCCGGGTCAAAACCCAGGTCGGGTCGGGTCAACCCAGCCCGCCGGGGCAGGATGATCATGCCTAGTGCAGATCTGTATGGAACAGTAACCTGTCTGGCCCGATACCATCGACTATTGGCAACCTTCCCAAGCTAACCTACTTGTGAGTTTCTGTTTCTCCACCAAATGAAGCCCTAAACCCGGCGTCACAGGCTCACATCAATTTTCCACTGTCCGAACAACACTCCAACTCCAGATGTTTGCAACTTTAGAACGACTTTTTTTATTTCTCTGTAAAAGGGCCACTGAGTCGGTTGGCACGAGGAGAGGCAGTAGAGGCTGGTCCCTTGCACAACCCAACTGACCTGAGCCAGGGGTAGGCGATCACATGTTCGGGTTTGGCACTCAGGATTGATAAATGACATACACAGAGGAAGTATTACTCACCTCGTTTGTTGTTTACACATGTCTACCAGCAGCCAGTTTTTCTTCTGACTGCGAGCCAGCAGCCTGGCTGATTCAGCCCATCAGCCATAAAGGGTCGGCTGTGAGACCGATTGAGCCGAGTCGACTTGGTGTGGCCTGGGTTGGCTTGGGTTGTTGTCTGGGCGTTGAGCGGGGACTGGCTTGAGCCCGATTCGGTTTGACTCTGCTTTGCTGATGTCTAATCTAAGCTAGTTGTTTTGGGTAGTAAATGGGAGAAAAGCAACAAGGAAATGCACATGGCCTGGTGAAAGTTGGGATGGTGCGCCTGAACCTGAGCCACAATAAAGAGCCCACAGAAGGGAGATTGTCTTTAGATCGATTCCCGCTTGCCCCTCATGTGTTGTGTCGGTTCTTTTGCTCTGTATGTGTCCCCTCCGTGTTCATTCGCTCATCAGGGTGCTTTGTTTTAACAGCTTAAATGGCACCATCCCTGCACCCATCGGAAATCTCAAAGGCGTCAAAGTCTTGTTAGTGCTGTTCGTCATTTGCTTGACATGTGTGAGTAGTGTTCCTCTTTGAATGAATATGTTCGTGCTGTTCCCCATTCAGTTAACATGCTTCTGTGAGCAGTGTTCCTCGTTCGATTGTCATGTTAGTGGCATTCCTTGTTCTGTCACCATGTGAGTAGTGTTTCATTGTTAGATTGATTATCATATTGTTAGTGCTGTGCAGTCCCGCGGTTAATTGCCGCACTGCTGCTGGTCTTGCTGAGGTCTTGACCCCAATGCAAAGTAGTGCAAGCAATAGTGCAGCCTATTCGCATGCATGTGATGCCTAACAATGCGACTCTACCATCCGCATTATGTGATCTGGAGCTTGATTGAAATGAGCCCTTAGCTCACAATATACTGAGTGTAGCTTGAGTAAGGGCCTTGGTACCATGGTCCAACATTGAGTTGCCTCTTGAGTTTACTCAACAATTCGTCAGGACCTTTAGTCCCGTCGAGAGCACATGGCACTGACCGAGTGCACATGGCACTGACCGAGTGCACATGGCACTGACCGAGTGCACATGACACTGACCGAGTGCACATGGCACTGACCGAGTGCACATGGCACTGACCGAGTGCACATGGCACTGACCGAGTGCACATGGCACTGACCGAGTGCACATGGCACTGACGGAGTGCATGTGGCACTGACCGAGTGCACATGGCACTGACCGAGTGCACATGGCACTGACCGAGTGCACATGGTGCTGACCGAGTGCACATGGCGCTGACCGAGTGCACATGGCGCTGACCGAGTGCACATGGCGCTGACCGAGTGCACATGGCACTGACCGAGTGCACATGGCGCTGACCGAGTGCACATGGCGCTGACCGAGTGCACATGGCGCTGACCGAGTGCACATGGCACTGACCGAGTGCACATGGCACTGACCGAGTGCTAATGGCACTGACCGAGTGCACATGGCACTGACCGAGTGCACATGGCACTGACCGAGTGCATGTGGCACTGACCGAGTGCACATGGCACTGACCGAGTGCACATGGTACTGACCGAGTGCACATGGCACTGGCCGAGTGCACATGGCAATGACCGAGTGCACGTGGCGCTGACCGAGTGCACATCGCACTGACCGAGTGCACATGGCACTGACCGAGTGCACATGGCACTGACCGAGTGCACATGGCACTGACCGAGTGCACATGGCACTGACCGAGTGCACATGGCACTGACCGAGTGCACATGGCACTGACCGAGTGCACATGGCACTGACCGAGTGCACATGGCACTGACCGAGTGCATGTGGCACCAGCCGATTGCCTCCTTGCTTAATTTCTCACCGCCTGTTGCTATTGCTATGGTACTTTTGGTGCGAGATGCATGCCCATACTCACAAACCTCTGTTTGGCCTTTGCTCCATTTTGCACCCACCCTATTTCGAGATGCATGTGGTTTCTTGAGAACAAGCTGCCTGGTTCTATACCAGCAACGTTCGCGGGACTTTTGTCTTTGACAAGCTTGTGAGTTTTTCAATCAAAAAAGCTATCCAGTCTTACACACCTTCTTATGCTCAATCTTTAGACGCTCATTTCCACTTGAACATTTATCGTTATCTACCTCAGCCATCATACTGAAGATTCTTGTTAGGCTAAGTTTCTCGTATCTTGGCCCGTTAGCTCACACAGCAAGCTCGATATTATTGTGGTCATATTTTACCTCCAAATAACAAACACACACGCACGCACACGTGCACACACACACACACACATACACACACACATACGCGCGCGCACGCACGCACGCATGCACGCACGCACGCGCACGCACAGATACACACACACACCCCTCACACACCCACACACACACACGCTCGCTCGCACGCACGCACGCAAGCCCCCACGCATGCACGCACACACACGCATGCGCACATACACACACACATATACGCATTTGGTTCAGAACTGTGACAATGTGCATGAGCAAATGGCCCGGGTCGGGTCAGGACCCTCGATATCCTGGCCCGGTCGGGTCGAGTCGGGTCGGCCCTGGCAAATAACCCGACCCGACAGTGAAAGTCGGGTCGGGTCGGGTCGGGTTTCGGGCCTACTTTGACCCGACCCGAAGTCGGGTCAAGAAACAAGGTATTTGGGTCGGGTCAGGCCCGACCCGGCTTCGACGCTGGAGGAAACCCTAGTTGATGTCAAGGGGTCAAATTTTCCCCTCGACATCTGACGCAAACCATTTTCGTAGCTTAAGACGGGAAATCCTAGAACCCTTTGTAGGAACCTACCCTAGCCCGCTGTCGCTCTACCTAAACATTGCATTCGATAATACTAGCGTTTAGGTTACATAAAACCGAAATTGGCCCTTTTTCAACGTTTAGGCATGCGATCTAGGCACAGTATTAAAATCAGGGCGTTGCGTAGTATCTTCACATTCTATTAGTAATATAGTGTATCATGAATTATAATAAACACACATGCCCGCTAAGTGGGGCGGGTTCCGCTGACCCGACCCGACCCGAGTTCGGGTCAGCCCTGACCCGACTCTGTTAACCTGGGTCGGGACAGGGACTTCACCAGCTTGGCCCGGGTTTCGGCCCGATCCGACCCGACCCGGGAACCGGGCTGGCCCGGCCAAGTCGGGTCGGGTCGGGTCGGGTTGGGTCGGGTAGGGTCGGGTGGGGTCGGGCCGCCTTCTCATGCCTGACATTTCCCCCTTCATGAAGGGAATGTTTTATTCCACAACGCTTGCTTGTTATTTTTTACACATAAGCAGAATACGAGTTGATGGAAACCAGATATGTGCTCGCCCCTTTCCACTTTGAATGAAAACTCTAGACAAGTTTTCATAACCTAAATCCAACCCGTTACTCAACCAGAAGAAACGTTCACTCGTGGTCAAGCTTTACTCGTCCTAAGTCGAGAAACGTTCACTCGTGGCATCTTGTGTGCCCACCACCTGCTTCACCCATTCTTCTCAGTAATGTTCTAAACAAGTGCACCGTAAGATATGTTCTTGACTGTGCAATGGCAATCTAGCCAGTGGATTTTGGGTGGAATCTTCTAGATACAGCAGCTATGCACACCACCACCTACGTATGCAATATGGCACTTGAGCATGCCATATGCGTTCCATCTCTTTCCCTGCAGAGATTTAGAGTCAACAATTTGACCGGCTCAATTCTTGAATCACTTTACAATGTTACAAATCTGAAGTATCTGATAAAGTTTAGAAGAAAGAAGAGCAGAAGGGGTTGCACTAGCAAGAATGGGGATACAAATAGCAAACCCTAGAAGGGTTGTACTCGCTATAGAGCACCCCACTACAGGCTAGAGCATAATATTCTGACACACCCCCATAGCCAAAGTGGGGTGTAATCAGCAGAGCAAGCAAAGCAGGACAAGCTCAGGGTGGATCACAATGTCACCACACATTCTGAGCACAAGTTCAAGAAGCAATAGTTTAGAGTTAACAATT